CTTCCGCAGTGATACTGCCTCGGAAACCCAAGGAGGGGTTGCTATGAGTCGGGGCCGACTCGACGGCACATAACAACAACAACAACTCTATGTTCAAGAGCAAGTTTCAGTCTCTTGTAACCACTGTTTTGGTCTTTTCTTACTTTCTTGTCTCCTTAATGACCTTTTGTTTTACTTGTATATGCTGTCTTTGATGTCATCCAGTAACTTGTCTAGTCTTTGGTCATTAGTGTTCAATGCACCAAATCTATTTTTGAGATGGCAAACATCTAGAAATGTAAATAATTTTGTGTATTAATCCTGCAACCTTGCTTAACTCATTTATTAATTCTAGTAGTTTTTTAGTGGATTCCTCAGGAATTTTTATATGCAAAATTATGTCATCTATGAATAGTTTTACTATGATATGTTTTCCTATGATAGTTTTACTACTTCTTTTCCAATCTGGATGGCTTCCCCTACCCCCCAGTTGAATTTCCCTTTACTACACCTCCAGTACAAAGTTAAATAGAAGTGGAGAGAATGGACATCTTTGCCTGATGACCATTTAGGGGGGAAATACTGATTTAGAGGGAAAATATCCAATCTTTCACCATTAAGTATGATGTTATTGGTGGGATTTTAGTAGATGTCCTTTATCAGGTCGAAGAAGTTCCATTCTGTTCCTAGTTTGCTGAGTGTTTTTATAATGAAGTGGGACAGGGCGGAATAGTGTATCCCCACTCTCAGGTGCACTTGCACAGAATTTAGCCTCAGCAATAGGTATCTGGGAGCAGGATGAGAAATGCTGATGTGCTTGCCCTCCTGAGAAGATGTAGCCCTGGTAGCTGAGTGTAGAGGGAGCTCTGTGTTCCTGGCTTCACCATCTGGAGTGCAGTTTCTGTCTTACTGAGCTGGAGAGGCCTGAATTCAATCAACACAAATATCCCCAGCCTTTTTTTTTTTTTCTTAATAGTTTTCACCAGTTTCATTGGGGAGTGGGTACATGGAGCTCCTCATGCTGTCATCCCCGATGTCTATGTCATGTACAGTGAAAGCCGTGAGTGTCGGAACTTGACAAGACTGCCTTGTTTTTCCAGGTCTTGCAAGTTTTCTGTCTTTGACAGGGTAGAATACTTTTCTATTATTTGTTTTAGTATTTGAGTTTTCCTTCTCTGATAGGTTTCTGCCTAACATAAGTTCCAGCTTTTGTAGGTTTTACTATACAACATTCTTGCAAAGACAAAACTACAGGAACTGCAAACAAATCAGTAATTGCTAGGGGGCTGGGTATGAGAATTGATAACAAATGGCATGGGAGGATTTAAGAGAGATCATAGATTGAACTGAGTCTTCCAAAAATATGTGTCAAGTTGGCTAGGCCATCATTCCTAATATTGAGTGGTTGTCCTCCATTTTGTGATCTGATGTAATTATCTTCCATTTTGTGATATGTGTTGTAAATCCTAACTTCTATATGTTAATGAAGCAGAATTAGAGTGAGTTGTATCTTCTTAAGTCACAGCCTTACAAGAGTGCATGACTTAAATCACATCCTTGCTCAAGTCACCAGCATTACTCAAGTACTCAAGTAATGCCCTTAGTCAAGTCACACCCTTTCTTGAGTCACACCTTTTATCTTATTAGAGATAAAAGGGAACAGAAGCTATCAGAGAGGAGAGACCTGACTGCTACCAAGAAAGAGGAGTGGAGCACATCCTTTGGACATGAAGTCCCTGGACAGAGAACCTCCTAGACCCAGGGAAAGACTGCTATCAAGACACATGGAAATCTCCAAGGACCTTCCCTCAGAGCTGGCAGAGAGAAAGACTTCCCCTAGAGCTTGTCCCCTGAATTTGGACTTCTAGCCTCCTAAACTGTGAGACAACAAATTTCTGCTTATTAAAGCCATCCACTAGTGGTATTTCTGTTATAGAAGGACTAGATAACTAAGATAAGGGGTGATGAAACTGGTTTATATTTATTGTGGTGGTGGTATAAATGACTGTACCATTTGTAAAAACATGAAGAATTGTATACTAAAAAGAGTTACTTTTACTGTATGTAAAGTATAACAAAACAAAAGTATTTTTTAAAAAAAGGTATTGTAGTAGACTTCTGGCCAAAATGGCAACTTAGTCAGACACATCAGGCTGTCCCTCTACAGCAAAGACCTGAGGAGCTAAGTGAAACAGATAGAGAAGACAATCCTGGAACCCTGAGCATCCAATGAAAGGGTAAAGAGCTAGATCTATAACTGATTGGAAGAAAACATTGATTGAAAACAGAGAACTAGAAAAAGTGGAGTGGAGGGGCCCTGCCAGCCAGCCTAGCACAGCATGGCCATATAAAGACAAAGACGGTAGCAATGCTGGGTAAGGAACACAGAATGCAACTTCGTGGGCATAGAGTAATTTTGTGGACATACCCAGAATGAAATAAGGTCTTGATTGCTGGCTTCAGCCAATGGGAAGAGCTCAGGCACTCTTGCCCAGAGACCAGAGGAACACATCACCCCTGCTTCCACCCTCCTGGTGATTAGCAGCACAAAAGCCCCCATTCCTACAGCTCTGACTGTCAGGGACCAAGGTAAAAGCCTCCCTTGTCCACTCCAGCCCTGCTTCCAAATTTCCTTCCCCACCCTGCTTGCCCTGCCATTGCCACTGCCAACCCAGCTGAGCAGTGGCAGGCCACTCCGGCATGGCATCAGCCACTCACTGCACCACTCCCACCCACTGACCCAACCAAGTGGCACTGGCCACTCCCCTTCCCCCTCCCCCTTACCATCCCAGCTGAGCTCCTTACCCCCTCCTCCCACCTCGTGAGAGGCGGCAGCAGCACCACCTTGCATGCTTCCATCTGCCACTCCCTCTTCCCTTCTCTGCTTACCATGTGCCCCTCTCTTTCCCCCTCACGTGGAAAGGGTGGTGAATACATGATTGCATGCACACCAGCTCACCACTCACACTCTGCTCTCTGTGTAAAAGGTGGTGGCAGTGTGCAGTGTGCACACCTGCCCACCACTCACCCACCAATCCTACAGGCAGTGGTGACTATGCCCCGACTAGCCAGCAATACACATCATTCCTGCCATCCTGTCTACTTGTGAGTGCCATTGTCTGCTCCTGTGCCACTGGACTAATGAGAGACACAGCCAATATCTGCCCAAACTGCCTTCAGACATTCCACAAGACCAGTGAACATAGACCTATACTCACATACTCAGTTGCTACCCCACCCACATGGACTCAGAAAATGAGCATTCCAGTGCAACCAGACTAGTGACCTCCGTAGCATGCCCATCCTGCCTGCCCAGTTACATCAAACGAAACATAACAAAAAATCAGGATACAGCAAACATATAATTAATAAATAAATGTAATAATGCTTTAATGCCTCAGAAACAACAGACTATCAAATTATCTAAAGAAGCAGGACAAGGTGGCTCCAGCAAGTGACCAAAATAAAGAACCAGGAAACCTCCTTGAGAAAGAAATGGAACTACTTGATAAGGAATTGAAAAGACTTACACAGATAGCCTTCCAAGAGATCAAGAAAGAGATCAAAGAAATCACAGATAAAATCAAGGAAAACACAAACAAAAACAATATAAGAACAAAAATGACAAAAGAAATAGACAATTAGATACCATACAAAAACAGCAACTAGAAATCCAGAAGATTAATACCAAAATATCACGAATAGATAATGCATTGGAAGGACAAAGGAGTAGAATTGAATCAGTGGAAGTCAGAATCAGCAAAATAGACAACAAATCCTTTGATACCAGTTTGTTAGAGGAACAATCAGAAAAATTATTGAAGAAAGCCTAAGAGTTATGTCAGACACCATCAAGAGGAATAACTTATGCATGATTTGAATTCCAGAATAGGAGGAGTCAAAAAAAAAACCACAGAGAAAATTTTTGAAGACTTGCTGCCAGAAATGTTCCCTAATATCATGAAAGGCAAGAAGATGTCCATCCAAGAAGGTTAACAAACCCCAAATAGGAATAGACTCCAAAAGAAAATCACCAAGGCATATCATAATCAAACTTTCCAGAACCAAAGACAAGGAAAGAATCTTGGGAGCAGCTCAGAAAAAAAAAAAATGAAATATTACCTACAAAGGGGAACCAATAAGAATAAACTCTTATTTCTTGGCAGAAACTATGTAGACAATAAGGCAATGAAATGACGTATAAAACACTGAAAGAAAAAAATTCCCAACCAGGAATAATATATCCAACTGAATTGTCCCTCAAATACAATGGTGCAGTTTGGACATTTCCAGATAAACAGAAATTAAAGGGATTTGTAAAAACCAGACCAACCTTACAGGAACTACTAAAGGGGATCCTTTGGAGAGAGAACCAACAACAACAGACAACAACCTGAGATTAAGACACATGACAACATTACCCAGAAACCCAGATAAAGAATTTTAAAAAATAAAATAAAGCTACAAGACTGAAAATAGGGAACTGGAAATGTCAATCTATAAATGATGACAACCACAAAATGAAAAGTAGGAATAAATGGTCTACTTACAGAACTTCCGTATGGAGAGGAAGTTAATGCAATATTAAGATAGAACAGACTGTTTTAAACTTAGATAAAAATAAATTTCAGGGTAACCACAAAGAAAATTAATAAACCTGCTCACCAAATAAAAAAGAAGAAATCATACACTCAGTAAACACAAAATTAATGGCAATGAAGGAAATGAAAAGAAAGGAAACAAAAAGAACTCAGCATAGAAAAACATACAGAACAAATAAATCATCAGCATCACAAAAAGAGCAGGAAAAAAATGACAGCAGTAAATTCATACCTATTGATAATTACACTGAATGTAAATGGCTTAAATGCACCAGTCATGAGACACAAAGAGGCAAATGTATAAGAAAACATAACCCATCAATATGCTGTCTATAAGAGAAACACCTTAGACTCAGATGTGAAAATAAGCTAAAATGCAAAGGATGGAAAAAAAATATCAAGCAAACTACAATTAAAAAGAAGAAGAAGAAGAAGAAGAAGAAACAGGAGTGGCAATACTAATCTTTGATAAGATAGACTTTAAACCAAAAACTTGCATAAAAGACAAGGAAGGGCATTATATAATGATTAAAGGGTCAATCCAGCTACAATACATAATTATATAAAATAAACTTCAACAGAATTGGGAAAATAAAGACAACTCCATAGTAATAGTAGGAGACTTTTGATGAAGGCAGAACAACTAGGAAGAAGCTCAGCAAAGATACAGAAGATCTAAACAATACGGTCAGCCAACTTGATCTCATAGACATGTACAGAACACTACCCAACAATAGAAAAGTACACATTCTTTTCCAGCACACATAGATTATTACCCAAAATAGACCATATGTTGGGCCACAAAGCAAACCTCAAGTATTTTAAAAACAAAAAACATTGAAATAATATGAAGCATCTTCTTAGATCACAATGCTATATAATTAGAAATTAATAATAGGAAGAACAAGGGAAAAACTGAATAATGCCCTGCTTAAAAACCACTAGATAATAGAAGAAATAAAACATGAAATAAAAATAGTTCCTAGAATCAAGTGAGAATGAAAACACAACATACCTAGCCTTTGGAACACAGCAAAAACAGTGCTCAGAGCTCAATTTATAGCATAAAGTCACACATCAAAAAGGAAGAAAGGACACAAATCAACACCTTAACCCTACAACTCTAACAAACAGAAAAAGAGCAGCAAAATACAAACAAACAAACAGAAACACTCATAGTCACCAAAAAATCCTAAACTCACTGCCATCAAGTCAAATCCAGCTCATAGCAACACCTCCTTGGGTTTCCAAGGCGGTATCTCTAAGGAAGTAGATTGCCCAATCTTCCTTCTGAGGAGTGGCTAGTGGGTTTGAACCTCGAGGTTTCTGGTTAGCAGTCAAATGCCTTAGGTATTACACCACAGAAGAAAGAAATAATAAAGATTAGAGCAGAAATAAATGAAACAGAACAACAATAGAATCAACAGGACTAGAAGCTGATTCTTTGAAAGGGTTCATAAAATCAACAAACCACTGGCCAAATCATAAAAGGAAAAGGAGAGAAGATGCAAATAACACAAATAAGAAATAACATGATGTACTGCTGTGACGTTACAAAACAGAACCAACTGAAATAAAAAAAGATAGCAGGATACTATGAAGAAGTGTACTCCAACAAATTTGAAAACCTAGAAGAAATGGACAAATTTCTGGAAACACCTACCTACCTAAACTAACTGACTGTGGTAGAAAATTTGAACAGATCCATAACAAAGGAAGAAATTGAAGAGATCATAAAAAAAATTCTCAACAAAAAGCCCCTGGCCCAGATGTCTTCACTGGAGAATTCTACCAAACATTCAGAGAAGAGCTGATACCAATTCTCCTCCTGCTATTCCAGAACATAGAAAAGGATGGAATGCTCCTGAATTCATTCTATGAAACTGACATAACCCTGATATCAAAGCCAGGCAAAGACATGACTAAAAAAGAAAATTACAGACCAATATCCCTCATGACTATAAATGCAAAAACTCTCAACAAAATCCGATCCAATAGAATCCAACATCATATGAAAAGAATTAATAATACATTATGATCAATTGGGATTCATACCAGGAGGTCTGGTGGTGTAGTGCCTAAGGCATTTGACTGCTAACCAGAAGGCTGGTAGTTGAAACCAACCAGCCATTCCTCAAAAGGAAGATTGGGCAATCTACTTCCATAGAGATACTGCCTTGGAAACCCAAGGAGAAGTCATTGTGAGTTGAATTGACTTCACGGCAGTGAGGTTTTTTTTTTTTTTTTTTTAATGTAAGGATGGTTCAACATTAGAAAATCAATCAGTGCAATCCACCACATAAATAGAACAAAGGAAAAGAACCACATGATCATATCAATTGATGCAGAAAGGCATTTAATAAAAGCCAATAAACCTCCTTTCCTGGTAAAAACTCTCAGCAAAATGGTAACAGAAGGGAAATCCCTCAACAGAATTAAGGGCATATGTACAAAACCAACAGCCAACATATTATCAGTGGAGAGAGGATGAAAGCATTCCCTTGAGAATGGGAACCAGACAAGGGTGCCCTTCAACACCACTCTTACTAAATATTGTACTGGAAGTCCTAGCCAGAGCAATAAGGCAAGAAAGAGAAATAAAAGGCATCTAAATTGGTAAGGAAAAGTTAAAACAACAACAAAAACTATATATTCAGATGTTAGGATTCTATATATAGAATCTCAGAGATTCTACAAGAAAGCTGCTGGAACTAGTAGAAGGATTTAGCAGAGTGGTAGGGTAGAAGATCAACATACAAATATCAGTTGGATTCCTCTACACTAACAAAGAGAATTCTGAAGAGGAAATCGGGAAAAAAAATACCATTCACAGTAACCCACTACCATTGAGTTGATTCCTACTCATAGCAACCCTATAGGACAGAGTAGAACTGCCCCATAGGGTTTTTAAGGCTGTAATCTTTACTGAAGCTAACTACTACATCTTCCCCTTCACCATTGTCATCTCCCTGCCGCACCCACAGCAAGTGTCCCTAACCAGCTTCCCTGTCTCTCAATATCCCCTTTATCTTCCCATTGTCTCAAGCCCAGAGTCTTGAAGTCATTCGGCAGTCTCCTTAATTAGTCAGGTATCAAAATTCCCCCAAGCCCTTCCTTTCCAGTCTGTACTTCCTGCCAAAACTCGAGTCTAGGCCTTCATCCTCTCCCACTTGAATTCCTGCCACAGCCTCCAGGCTCTGCCACAGCCTCCCACTGTCCCACATACCACTGGCAATCTAATCTTCTTTAAATATAACTTTCATCATATCACTTCCCTAATCGAAAATATCTCATGACTCCTATTTCCTACTCCATCAAGTCTAAACACCGATACCTGGCTTTCATGCAGTTCATAATCTGGCCCCACCTTGCCTATATTATTTCCCACTGTTACCCAACTTGCTCCTCTTCCGTGACCTAGGTCATTTTTCTCACTTTGCAAGAACAAGCCAAGTTCATTTCTGCCTCTATATCGTAATGACTACGCTTTCCCTTGTCTGGAATGCCTCTCTTCAGATGACCCAAATCATATCCATCTTGCAAGATAATTGCCTTTGTTTAACTGTGTTCCCTTCCTTGCTTTCTATTCTCTTCAACCCACTTTAATCAGGCTTTAATCCCAATCCACTGTCCAATACACACTTCTTGTTTTCCTAAAAGTAGTCACTTCCTATGTCAGTATGTTTACTTTCATTCAATTCTCGGTATTTCCCTTCTTAGTTAATAACACCATCATTCACCCTGTTTCTCAAACCCTGGGACTCCTGTTTGATTCTACTCCTTTATAACCCACATCCAGTCCAATAGCAGGTCCAATAAGCTCTCCTTTAAAAATACGTTTCAACATATCTGACAAGGGACTTATCTCTAGAATTTATAGAACACTCCAACACCTC